TCAGTCATAGAATCCATTGCTAAGCTTCGTTTCACAGAGCCCTGTTTGTTTGTTTTTTCTTTCAGTGTATTCATGATTGAAGTATGAAACCTGTGGATTCGGCTGATTTTATCTGTTAATTAAGTTTCCATGCGTTATTAAAGTTTCCATTTTCATTTTCGAGACATATTTCAAGTGGGTTGCATACTAAATGTAGATTCTCAAGTTATATTGGGCTTGCATAATTTGCGTGCCAAGTATTCCTATCTGTAATTCAAAAGTTCTTATTTGTTTTTTGCCTACTCAGTTTTATACATGCTGAGAGAGTCAATTACTGCATATCATTTTACATTATTATCTTCCTGCATGTACTGTACAGTATGTACATAGCTGTAGTACAAACATATGTACAAATATATTATACATAATGTCATTGGTTTAGAGAGCATCAGAAGGTACTAATAGCATACTTGAGACCTGTGAAGAGCTGAGAGGCAGTTGCCATGGTAACAATGCCATCTGTTGTCTGTGTGTCACTGTTGTGTAAGTTTGCATTTGAAAGCTAATGATGTCAATGATAAATATAGAATGCACATTGAACATTGTAATCATGGTTTCAAGAACAAGCTACATGTACATACATGTACATGTATGATTATCCCTACCGGTATACATTAGAAATAGAATACATACAACTACACAATGTACTTTAGGTCTTCATGTACATGTAGTATTCAAGGCTCTTTCTGCATACGTACATGTACAGGTACATGTACGTATATGCAGGCCAGTTTGAGTTTGTAAATACATGTGTTCAAGATTTACATCATCTACAAAAACAAAGAATCTGAGAGAAAATAAACCTATACAAAATACTTGTACTTTTATTATAGGAGGATGGAATAAGTACTGGTAATGTAAAAAATGTACAAGGTACAGTGTCAGCAGTTGTGTACATGGTACATGTAGCTCTAAAATATTAATATGAATTCAATAAGTTTCATCTGTAACTTTAGAAAAAACTACTATAATAATATAATATTTAATTTTTATATAGCGCTTTAATACAAATGTCTCTAAGTGCTTTACAAATATACTATTACCCCGGTCACTGGATGCAGTGCTTGCCCGCACACACTGTGTGCACAATCTCCACTCCCTGGGGAGCATTCCAGCCGAGCGTTACTATGAGTTGGCAATTAAGTGTTGCAGTGTACAATATATTCTGTACTGTAACAACAACATGCACATGAACATATAAGGTACCAGTGATTTAAGAAGTTGGTAAAATTTCTGTTTGAGCTTGTAAAGGCTGGCGTTTAATATTTCAGTACAAGCTTTAATACATACTGTACATCCACACACTACCCTATTTGAAAAGTCTGTTAATGATTACACTATGTATCTAGACTAATTGGTTCCAAACAAGATGTGCTGCATGGTGTATGCTCATTTTCTATGTTTGCCTTGACATTTACAGTTATTGAGCTGTCACAGGTGTGAAAGGTGTACTGTCTGTACCATGTACCCAATCAATTACCAGGCCGTCCGAACAAACACGTGTTAAAGCTTGCATCATAAACATGGTGGATAAATGGGTGCGTTTAGACAAGGAAACCTCTGCTCTAGTTTTTGTTTAGAATCATTGTGTGAAACGTACAGGGATGAAATAGTGGTGATCGATTATCGGGCCATGTGAATAGGCAAGTGTAAAGCATACAGTACATCATAAACAGGGTGGCAGACAGGTGTGTTTAGATGAGAATTGATGCTCTGCGAAAGGTATACAATGTAGGTGTGAAATAATGCCATGTGAACAGACAGTGTAAAATTTGCATGATGAAAGGGATGGCAGAAAGGTGTGTTTACACAAGATGAAACTCACACTCTATACTCTTATGGAGTTAAATGAAAATGTGTAGAATTCATTGTTGTTAACTTTATCGTTTCATATACCAGTAGATTTCATAGCCTATCTTTTTCATCTTAAAGAGGGTCCTTTTTATTGAAATGCAAGATGTTGTTACAAGCAATTTATTTGAAGAAGTATCTGAAAAATTTATCATTATAACCTGTATACTGGTAATGCATTTGCAATACAATGTACATGAACTAGGTCTTTCATCTCAACAATGTACTAATTTCAGGTTAATACATGTATATTACATTTTCATGACAAAAAAGAAAAAGCCATTTTATGCCATTGTAAGTGTTTCATGATAGTTGATACAGGTTGTTTAAGAAAAAAATAAAGTCGAGTCACTCAACCACTCCATGGATCACAGTTGAAACATAAGTGTATACACTTTACATCAATATGGTAAACGTACACTTTCATCACTCACTAATTAATCAGTTGTAAGGACTGAGTATGTGGGAGAAAACGTGAGAAAGTGGGAGGCGGGTATGAAAACATAACCACATAACCACATCTCTCATCTTCCTGCTCGCCATTTGTACATGGAGGCTTTTCTGCATGGAACGGGGGAAGGGAGAATCGGTGCAAATTGATTGTATTACGGAGGCATGGATGAGAAGCATAATGGGGAGTTTGAAATGATACTTGTAGAGGTAAATTATTGTCATTTGATGGAGGCAGCTAGGAACCAGGCATTGACGTACGCAATGCATTAGCATGTACGTGTAGGGTTACATTAAATATCCAGTGATGGGCAGAAATGGAGAGTGCATTGATGCCTTCATGCTTTAGTTTGAATGAGATACATACCAGGCACCTGACTGTTTATTGAGGATCGGGATGACTTTTTCAATCTTTGCTGTTTTTCTCAGGTCTGAGCATACAGTACATACATGTACATACATTGGAATCAAATGACCCCATTTAGCTGTTCATTTTTGTTGTTGGGGGTATTTTTTCAGACCAAAAGTACTGTACAAATGAAATTTAATTATCATTGCATGCCCGGCAGAAGGTTGATTGCAGGACAGTTTTAAATCTTGGTCTAGCTGTAGACCATGTGTGGAGACTGGAGAGCCTGAAGAAATTTAACTGAATTGAAAAGTATAGTGTAATGCCTTTGTGGCTCTCAACAGACAGGTATTGGGAATTTCCCAATTAATGCCTTCCTTCCATACTATCTTGATATATTTGTGCTTTATTTTATTGAACTTGTACATGAACAAGTATTATACATTTTGTGTAGCTGATTACAGTTTGTATGTTTGTTTGTTTGTTTGTTGTGGATGCTACATGTATTTCCACTTGAAAATGGGAGCAAAAATAATGCAGCAGAAGCACAGAGGCTTGAAGTTTTTGGAAGGGGAGAGTGAGAGAGAGAGAGAGAGAGAGAGAGAGAGAGAGAGAGAGAAAGAAAGAGAGAGAGAGGGGGCGGGGTCGGATGAGAGAGAGAAAAAAATGACACATTCATTTATTTAAAATCTGTACTTGAATATAACATGACTCATGACTATATTTAGACAATAATTCAACATTGGATGCTCATGTTATATATTTGCACCCCTAGGTCTAAACTGGAATAACAAATTATTGCCATAAAAATGTTGTGAATGAATTTGGAAAAGCATTGTTTACTTTTGTCAGGTTTGCCTACCAACCAATCGTAGGAATTGAATTTAGATTGAATTAAGATCTGGATTTGGAATTTTTATGTCAATTTGTGTTTTAAGATCTTTTTTGGGGGGTAACATCCATCGGTGAATTTTTAGGGCAAACAGAAGTTAGTGCTGTATATACATATGTTTGGGCACGTGCAGTGTACCATTAATCAAATAATGGAATGGTATTACTGTACTAAACCTAACTTCTTTTTTTATGATTTTCACAGTTTATGTGAAATCCATGAATTGTACTTGATAGGATATCTAGGGCATAGGCTTTAATGTGTTTAGCCTACGATCATCGACTGAAAATACTGGGAGGGGAGTTGAAGGGACATGTGCCCTCCACTTTTCTTCTTTCTTTTGTTCAAACTGAAGTATTTTGATGACATGTACGCAGATTCAGAAATGCGGCACACATATTGGTTGTCGAACTGTCACAAAGTGATCTCTGTATTTGTACAGGTTTTAGCTTTCCTGCTCTATCAAAAGACAGCCTCAACTTGACCCCTTAGATATATCCAAGAGAGAAATACTATCTCTCCATTGCCTCGGATAGGTATAACAAATTGGAATACCAGTACCATCAAACAAATATTAGTAAAAGATTATGAATTTCGCGCAGCTTAATGGTACAAAAATATTAGTTTAGATTATTCACTGCCTTAAAATGTAGCATTTGCCTACATTCTTCCAATTTTAAAAAGTGGAGATGGAGACCGGCAAAGAGAGAAAATTAGAGCTACAAAAAGTATACACTGTACATGGATGATTATTAATCTCAGAAATTAATGCACAAATTCAGATTTGAAATAAGTTTATTTGTTTGCAGAAGGTGTTTATATCCATGTACATGCACAATTATGAGAATGCTGGTTTTGCCTTCAGTTGTCTCAATACTGCAATGCCCAACTTAGTTGAGGTTAACCACTTCCAAGCATGTGGTCTTGATGACTACATACTGTACCACATTTACCAACTCGATGCATATACAGTTGTACATGGACACAGTATTGCATGGAAATCAATGCAAATTTGTGCCTCATTGTAGTCAGAGGGCAAATTCATTAATTTTTGTTGTTGCCAGAATATGAATGTAATGTCCTATAAAAAAAAAATGAACGTACAGTAATACATGCATGTTGTAGCACATGTAGATTAATACATGTACAGTATGAAGCTACATTTATGTATACATAAATGTGCATTTACATGGCCAAAGATAAACATGTTTGAATACACCATCTATACTGGAGTGTTTACAGATCTGTACAAATTTATACTGGTTCAGAGGCCTTCAGTATGGAATTTAGGTTTACCTCCAAATTTCAAACTTGATACTTGTTTTTTTAAATTTAGTTCAGTGTCAAGTTGCATTTATGAATTGTGCATTGGTTAAATACATGTATATTTATTTTCTTTGCCTTCTTGTATTTGCCCAGGTCCTTCCTTCCTGATGTTGATTGTTTGAGGGACTTCTCCTCTCTGTGACGGGTTCAAACCACACCAACCCAGTGTCCACCTATGGTCCCCAGGCTATCTTGCCCGGCACCACACACCCAGCCACCCTCATGGGCAAGTGCTTCTCCGTCTGTAACCCAGGTTCAACCAGCGTGGAAAGGCAGAATGGCAAGAACAGCAAGGCTCAACTCCCTCCCAAGTCCTCCTCGCAGCATGCCACAGCTATAGACCGCTCCACTGCCCAACCCGTTCAGTACATCCAACACATCAGCACGACCGGAGTCCGCGCGGGCAACCTCCCTCTCCGTCCCGCCGGGGACTCAAACAATGGTTCTCACAGCAGACCTGCAAGTGACACACACAAGCAGTTCCCACGACAGAACGGTGTAGAGACAAACACAGCCATGAAGTCGGACTTCTCCGAGCGAAAGGCCAACAAACTCTTTGAAAAATACAAAGATAACTCTGAGGATGCCATCTTGGCGGAAGGCACTGAACGATTCTGCCAGGATCTCAAGGTCAGTCCCGAGGATTTTATAGTACTAGTGATCGCGTGGAAGTTTCAGGCGGCCGTCATGTGTCGCTTCACGCGGACTGAATTCATCCAAGGCTGTCGCACCCTACGCGCCGACTCCATCAACGCCATCAAGGCCAAGTTTCCTGATCTGCGACACGAGGTGAAGACGGACGATGCCATGTTCAAGGATCTCTATCGATACACATTCGGCTTTGGCCTGGACACTGAAGGCGGCCAGAGAACTTTACCGTGTGAGATAGCAATACCTCTATGGAAGCTTGTCTTCTACTACCGACAACCCCCTATCCTAGATCGCTGGTGCAATTTCCTGACCGTGAACCAGGTCAAAGGTATATCCAGAGACACATGGCAGATGTTTCTGCACTTTGTAGAGGTCATTGGAGATAATCTCAGTAACTATGACGACAACGAAGCCTGGCCAAGCCTTTTTGATGACTTTGTGGAATATGAAAATGATAGATTGAAAACTCTAAATCAAGTTGAGAAGGAGGATAATAACCAAGAGGAAACTCATCTAGTCTAGAAAAAATTAGGGATATCCATATTTTTAATTGATTTTACGATACCTAGTTATTATCGTTTGTTTGCTTCTTTTTTTTTAAATGCGAGGTGCTTCGTCTGAATGTTCGAGTTCCTTTCACTGGATGATGTTAATTTTTTGATAAGTGGTCACTTGCATTTTATGGGTGTTCCAGAAAAATTGTGATTCTTTCTTGTTTAGTGCATGTCCTGTATGGATGTGCCAAACCAACATATATTTCTGTGCACCAAGGAAAAATAAGTACAGGTAGCTTTTCAATTTGATCACATGTGGAAGAAGAGGTGTGCGTGTACATTGTACATGTTCATGTAGCATCTTTTAATAATTTGTTATTTCATCCTTTTTAAAGCAGCTACCATACTGTTATACATACATGTACATGTGTAAGATGGTAAGCAGAAAATATTTTGATTGAAACCTGATCCAAATCATGATGAAATTTGTAGGAATAATTGATTTTGAATACAAGCAGACTTTGTTTTTATGATCCAAAGAATTCGCCTGTATTGCTTGGGGAGTGCTATAGACAATAATCTACATTTGCCACTCTCAGCCCAAATGTACATGTACATTTAGTAAGTGGGTATCTTGTAGCTCCTGGTAACAGTTGCAGGAGCTAGCCAGAGTAATGATTTCCTAAGTTCTTTGACCATACAGTAGAGACATAATATGTGCTAAACGCTGTACACTGTACCAGAACAGAAAAGAGTTCCTATTATAGATTCCTAGAGTTCCTTGAGATTACTATTATCATTCTGAAAGTCAGACATCATGGTCTACAAAAGCTCAAATCTAATACCTGTGATTTATAGTTTTTTTTATTGAAAAACCTCTCCATGTGCAGTGTATCTATTCAGTACTACCGATATTCCTTGATATTGATTTTGGACAGATGTTGACATACTGTACATTGTTGGGGAATAAAAGACACGTTAATCAACACAAACTGAATGTTAATCGACACAAACTGAATGTTTTTCAATTTGTTAGCATTCCATATATTCAGATAAGTTATTCTGAAACTTGTAGAAAGTGCATACAACTTGGGGATGGGGGAGTAGGGGAGGTTGACTATAAAATGCTGCATCTCATTCTCATTAGAAAGATTACAAAAGTAGAAACATGAAAAAAAAAAGCATGATTTGATTCTACACTTCAATTTTGCTCTGTGATTGGAGTTGAGAGTGTTGTTAAAAGCTCTCCACAATGATATGTAATACTGGGCTTCAAACTTGCAATATTTTTTCTTCAGAACTGTATGTTTTGCGAATAGAAAACCAAATGATAGTCCAGAATCTGGCTGATTTAACCTTTAACAATCTCAACCAACACAATGTCATCTCCCCCTACTTTGTGCAAGCCGAAGATGGCCAACTCCGACATTTCTAGGCCCGGTGGTCTTAAGGTTGGGCTGAATTCATGAATCACACCCCCTTCAGCTTGCAGCACGTAGGGATGGGAGAAATCACAATTGTGAAATGAGATAAAAGCATGCCAGATTCTGGACGAACCAAATGAAAACAAAGCAAAATCATTTTTGAGGTTTGTTCCCTTGTAATTACCCTGCCTGGTGGATAGGAATTAAATCTATAGGTATCATGATTGATTTTGTCTAAAACGTTGCACTGACTCCAATTTGTCCTAATAAACAGTTATTTCTAATTTAAAGTTTGCTGGCCCTAGTAATGCCTGGCATTGCAACAGCTAATATACTGCACTCAAATCTTCACTCGTAATTTTTTAACACTGTTTTCCATGTTTTTGTGAGCCAAAACTTGAAAATTGTGTACAGGTTACAAATCTTATTGTCTTAATTCTAATCATGTAAATTTTAATAAATATTCTTATTTACTTCTCTACAAAGGAATTTATATTCTGTCTTTTGATCATGTACAAGCTATCCTGATTTATGGACATGATTATGGACCATCCGAAATTAATACTGTTGCAAAAATAATTTCATTTAATTGAGCTCTTGCTCTCGTGCGTGTATTGGGGTTTGGGATCTTAAATTGTTGGGAAAATTGTCTTTTTCTGTTTTTTTATTACTTTGCTCCATGTGAAAGCTTTCATATGTTCAATTGCCACTTTTTATAGGTAACATGAATATTTTCTAAAAAGCTTGCGATGGAAGAAGAGTTTTTCAATATCTGTTGTGGCTGTAATATATATGCATACTTTACACCCAACCTACCCAATGTCAATTTGTGTTCATGATATTTCTCTCTATTTATATCAAAAGATATGTTCTTGACATGGGCTTTTTCTTTTGAACCAAGTCCAGACTTCATTCATAATTTTGTCTTGTTTTCTTTTTTTACACTGTTTTCCATGTTTGTGTGAGCAAAAACTTGAAAATTTTGTACAGGTTACAAATCTTATCGTCTTAATTCTACTCAAGACACTTTTGAGAAGTGTCATCATTTTTTAATTAGTTCATAATTTTTTGAATATTGTACAAAGTAAGATTACTATTTTTTATTTAATATTTAAGAAAAGTTAAGATACTTTATATGTGATTTGTACATGTATACTGTATGTGATGCATCTCATCATTTTTATACACCAGGTTGAAATTGAATATTTGTAGAGTGTTGATATGTGTGGTATTGAGTCCAAAGAACCATATTTTCATCATAAAGTAGAGAAAAAAAACTTGCGTGTGGTGATACTAGACTTATCCGTTCACAGGTACATGTTTTTATTTTGCTTTTTATGCTCAAAATTCTCTCCTCAAATACAAGTGAAGGAATCAAAAGAGGCAGGCACTGAAATATTTTCAAATTATATTACTTTGAATATAATATTGTCTGCAGAGATTCAGAAATCTCCTTGCTCTATTTAAAGCAGAAGATTTTTTCATATTTTTCATGTTCTATTGCATTCGGTAGCTAATCATTTAATTTACTTCTTGTGAAAAGTATCAGTTTACCCTAACAGAGCTGCAATCTACATAATGAAAGTGAAATAAAAGCATATTAAAATGAAAGTGCTTCTGCAGTTTATTTTGTACATCCATTCATTGCAAATTTGATTGATGTTATGAATAGACGACAGATTTAAATAATCTCTAACAAATACATGTACATTAATTTGCTTTGACATGGGTTAAATCTCTGCTTCTTATTTTGCTGTGATATGCCCAGATAGCTAGCCAACAGCAGACTACTGGTATGCCTTTAAAAAGACTTTCATTTTCTTTCGTAATTAGAGCTTGTGTTCCTTTTGACATCCTCAAGCGTATGTTACATAAAATTTTGATTTTGAAGGATAGAAAATTGTTGCAAAATGCTCTGGGATGGAAGATTGGCAGGACTTATACATGTATGGATGATAATGTACCTAGACAAATTTGCCAATAGATAAAGTGTGGAAAATTCATAAAAATGTTTAAGAGTTAAAAGATTGAGAATGTAAACTTCTTCCAACACTCCCAAGTGATGACAGTTTGCTTGAACTTCTCTTTTTTTCGATAGCATTTAAAAAGGGTAATGTACAATTCAGGAATAGAACTTTGGAAAACAAGGTAGCTCCGATGTCGCATACAGTTTACAAAAAAAGAGTTTGTTTTGTTTTGGGAGTGTCCATATCTGATTGTCAGTCAAAACTTTTGTAAAAGTTGGTGTGAGGCTGACCTTCAGAATAGGTCAACAGGAAGTAGTTCAAAGCTGATATGACCATTGTCTGTAGCATTCTGTTGGCATACCCTGTCTGTTGTGTGTTGACTCTGTCAGTACTAAAGCTGACAGACAGGACAATACCTGCATTGTTGTGATAAAGATAGGGCATGTGTCTTTTTTCAGAGAAGTTTCCAGGGCAAGAAACTTTTTGCAAATTGTGAAAAAAAATGATTTCCTGGCAGTTGAGTTGTGATGCGCTTATTTCAACTCATTAAGCAAATTCGATGGTCTTGGAGTAGTATTGAATGAAGTCTTGACTCCTTGGAGTTATTTTGACAGAAATATTACTGGTTCATCACTTAAATGGCATGTCAGTCCCGATTGCTTAACGTACTAATGTATTCAAATGTGCTATAAAAAGTACAGTTTTGTGACTATAAACCCAGTCTGACTAGCACAAATCAGGGAACTATTCTCTCTCGCATTCACCTTCACAAAGTAAGAATTACCTCCATGGACAACTACAATGTAGGTACTTGTGTAACATAACATTGCCCTGTATTCTAAAAAGTTGCAGTTGATCAAAATCAATCTCAGATCCTCAAATCGTTAGATTTTACACTTTGATTTAATTGAGTCTGGGCTACATGCCATTGATATGAATTATGAAATTACGAACAGTTTTTGAGTCACTTGTAAACATCCAAAGCATCAGTTGAAATACATGTACCTAGCTTCATCAATTGATTGATATTTTGAAGTCAGATTATGTTAGGTGGTATCTTGAAATTTATTTGTCTGTATTAGTTAAATAATTTTAATTGTAACAAATCAAAACTTCAACTTGTTCATTGGTGTTTGAGCAGATATCTTCCGCACTTTCATTAACCAAAGACCATTTTGCATTTTTAATTGTTATGTAAACCAAAATATCTTTCCCTTACAAAGGAAAACAAAATTGAAGTCAATTTCAGAGCCCCTCCCCTAGTTTTCATAGACAAATGGTTTATTGTTTCAAGTCTGCCAGTTGAACTGTAAATGTATGTATCTATAACTAGCCACTCATAATATATACTTGTACTTTTTGAGGCAGGTTTAACGAATGCCCTATCTCAGACTGTATGCAGTTGTTGTTTCAGGCCCTAAAGATAACAAGATAAAATGATGGTTGCTTGTACTTTTCTGTGTAATATGCCTAAAGAGTTGTCAGTATAGCTAGTCACTTGGCTTTTGGAAACTACCATGAATACGAGGCCATTCTTGAATATTGTGCAATTTGTTTTCTTGCTTTACCAGTCTCTATCTGTCTTCATCTCTCTCTCTCTCTCTTCCTCTCTCTCTCTCTCTCTCTCTCTCTCTTCCTCTCTGTGTGTGTATGTCTCTCTGTCTATGCCTGTATGTCTGTCTATCTCTCTTTCTCTCTCTCTGCACCTCCTCCTACTAAACATTGCAATGTGTTCTCTTTAACTATACCTATATCTACATCTCTCCATCTGGCCCTATCTCCATCCTCTCTATTTCAATCTATCCCTTGCTCTCTCACCGCTTTCAATTTCCATCTCTATTTTGCTATTTATCAAACTGATGGATTATATTTGTCTGCCTGTTTGACATTGCCCATCAACGCTAATACGATCTTATTATAAACCATGACCATACATTGCAGGTCAACGCGCAATGCAAGATAGTGTGTATCCAACGACTCCTGTCAGAAACTATTACGGAATACTGTTGCCTTGGTGATTTTTGGAGGACAATTAATGTAATAAATTCATTCTACAAACCTATTATCTGTCTCTATCTTTGTATTTATTGTTCATGTAATTCGAATTTCGATAGTTCCCTCGATGCGTCTGTATGTATAGGCAAAAGAACTGGTTCAGAGTTATCCCGATTCCTGCTTTCTCATCATATCTGCTTCCTGACAAAGTGCAGGCATGAGACCTTTTTTCAGATCTCAGTTATTTTGTTTGCATCTGTGTGTGGGTGTTTGATTTATTTGTTTAATTTTATTCATGATTCACATTGCGAAGAAATATTGAAAGTGGATTAGTCAGAAAGTAACGCCTTTCAATATTCATAGCAACTGCTTTGAAAGTGATGTTAATCGCCAGACGGTGAGGGGTGTCGTGGAAACGTTTGAATTGCTATGATTTGACCTTTATGAAGCTATTATTGCAGCATATATTTATTTTAGATGTCAATTCTCTAATGACAAAACATCTGAATTTCGGCTCCCACATTTTGCTCCTCGTATCACGTAACTATTCCTCATTTTTTGTGAGGAAATTTATTTATTTATTATTCACTGTCGATAATTCTACTCAAGACATAGCTCTCACGCCTCCTTTTCTTTTCTATTCATCACTGTCTAACATAATATTAAATTAATTTGTATATATTGCACTATAATATTGTCAGTGTTGGGGTTAGTTAAATCATTAAGACTGTTCACTCTTTAATAGAGTATCGTTAGTTGTGCTTAGTATTCATAAGATTATAAAGTCATCCTTGACAGCTATATATAAATGCCTTTTAGACCTCCGTAGTAGAATGCCATCGTAATACATTTCCGCGAAAACTACGTCTTTATTCTAAATGCATATCAACCAGGTAGCCTGGAAAGTGTTATGATACTGATAAATAAGCACTAGTATGCATGAAGGCAGCTTGAGTAGGTTTCCTCATTGAAAGACTGGAGTGCTTTACACGGGCAGTTTTTATGCGAAGGAAGAGGAAATTATTCTGCTACAAAGTGCCAGACTGAAGACCAAGAAAAGCAATTTGCCGATAATGAGGAATCCATATTTTAGCCTGATTTTTCCAGGTAGTACTTGATGGTGTCACGGCTTATGAACATGTATATGGGATCTGACAATTCATACTTCAACCTCATTTTCCAAGTAGAAATGTATGTAGAACCAGAGCATGTCATTATTAAAGCTTTCATTTTACAAATGGGGCAATTTTCACTCTTTGTTTAGTCTGTCGCCCCATATTGCCTTGCTCCTCACCCCCCCCCCCCCCCCCCCCCCATCGGTAAAAATTGAGAACCTGGACAAGAAGCAAAGTATTTCCTGGTTTCCCAAGTATACAACATTACAACATAATGACGTGTCAGATAACAAAAAGGATAACATTTCTTTCTCTCTCTTTCTCTCTTTCTCTCTCTCTCTCTCTCTCTCTCTCTCTCTCTCTCTCTCTCTCTCTCTCTCTCTCCCTCCCTCTCTCTCTCTCTCTCTCCCTCTCTCCCTCTCTCTCTCTCTCTCTCTCTCTCTCCCTCCCTCCCTCCCCCCTCTCTCTCTTTCTCACCTGTTTAGGTTGAGGCCCACTAATAATGAAATTAAAATAGCAAGTATGAACTTGATTACATTCTTTTCATAAAGGTTGACATTTTGAAGACCATCTTGAATAGATGTGATAAAATATGTAAGGGCTCTTTTAATTGTTAACGGATTATAATTGTTAGGCTTTCATAAATTCACAAACGCCTCCTGTTTTGAAAAGTTTGAACTCATCATAGGCGAACGCATGGTAGGCCTACATACTAGTAATAGGTGGGGATGGGTTTGGGAAAAAGGCGCAGTTATATATATTTGTGACACTGATTTTTCTCTCCTCCCCCACCCCTCGCCAACCTTACTTTAAAATTGTTGATTTCTTGAGTCAGCTGTCAAAATAAACAGCAAAAAACATTTAACGCCCCTGAAGATACGCATCAAATTAATATGACAGAAATATTATGACAACATATGGTAATATAAATAGTGAAATACATTTATATTGTGCACATAATTATCCACCCTATATACCGGATTATTACAGTGGCTTTAGCCCAATTGCCTAATAAGGTGCTCAAGGAATTCAAGGAGAACTTAATGGGACTCGCAGCACGAACCATGTAATCCACAGACCACGGCACCTCTCTACGATAAAATGGATTGGGCTTGTCACATTTTGTTCTTTTCTTGAATAAAAAAAAATTCCCCAAGAGGGTAATGCAAAAAAGCCACCGTCACATAGGCCTACCTCTCTTTGAATTGTTATTATTACTTATACTGCGCTTTTCCCATAAAGCCAAAAGCGCTTACAGTGAATAAAAACAAAAATTACATAAATACATATTATAAGAAAAACTTACAACTACAAACTGCAAAAAAAATATGTGTTTTTAAGGCCTTTCTGAAGATAATAACTGGTGGAGACCTAATTCTAAGTTGTAGATCATTCCAGTATTTTGAGGCAGATACAGTAAATGTAAAAGTAAATTACACTTATTCCAGTTGTCGAGGTCAATTTGCAGAACGGTAATTCCAAAATGAGTGTAAGCTGGTACTTATAAGAATGATAACTCTCATACAATAATCAT